TCTTCAGTAGGTTGAAGGGATGAACACAACCTTCATCATAGTTGTGGGAAGAGGCAATGAGATCATAATGATAATAAACAGCCATATCATTGCTCTCTAACCTCTCATTAAACTCCAAACCCCCATCCCACAACCTCCCTCCCAGACATGCCCCTGGCTCTTGCCATTTCTCAAACTCCACAAGTAAACACCAAAGTCACCTTCTTCACCATTAACCAGTCCCCTCCCAACTTTCTGGCTGGGTCCAAGACATTCCCATCATCCCAAACACCCAAAGCCAACTATCAAATGATAAACGGGTTTACTGTCTGTGGAAAGCCTGGCTGCTGGCTGGGTCCCTGGGGCAGCACTTGGGAATGCTCTGGAAATCACATGATAAGCAAATTGATGTCAGTGAAACCTACACTAGGAAAACATCACAACATATAGACAGGCTGCTTCCCAAGATAAAAGGTATAGAGAAAAAATGAAAAACAAGAAAGAAAAGGAGAAACAATGTAACCATCTAGCAAGTGACAAGCAAAATTATGGTACATTTATACTACAAATGTTTGTAGTTAAAAATGACAGGAACAGAATACAAAAAAATGCTAATAGTAAGTTAAAGGCAAAGGGCAACATTTAAAATTGTGAGTAAACTTGTCCCTATTTAGAGCAGCAGGTGCACAACAGGAAAAGCCAGACCGGATTCTCTCTGTTGTTCTACAAATACAAAAACCATTTTCAAGGGACTCTTTTCTCTCTGCTTCCAAATTTGGAGCCCAAATTCCGGTCTCTTGATTTGACATGACTGTGACAGCTTTTGATCCCAAATCTCTTCTTCACAACCATTACTCTCTGGCCAGCTCCAGCAAACCTCATTTTCACAGCTGTGCATAGAGAATCCCTAGGCCCCGTTGCTGGGTTTCTATAACCCACCTCCTCCCTACTCACTGGGCGGAGCCTTGGGTGATTCATCATCTGTCCACTCTACTCCTGCTGCGGTCCTGCCATGGAACCCCTACCGCTAGCCCACCCTTCCCCCTCTCTTCTTCCCAACCCTGCTGCAGACAGGCAGTTCTCAAGTGTTGCCCGATGACCTGCTGCAGCCCCTGCACGAGTTCTCGTTCCACCACAGGAGCTGGGCTTCCAACTCAGGCAAACAGAGCCCTCTTGGATCCCAACCCCAGCCTAGCTCTACTCTGTCAGTCAGGCTGCCGCCCCCTTCCTTCCCCTCTTCCCCTGGGCTAAGCAAGACTCTGCGCACAAGCCCAACACTACCCCTTGCCACCCCTACGGGACACAGTAAGAGTCATGGCCTATTCTCCTGTCTTTCCTTGGCCCATCCCCTCTTCCTCCCCAAGGGCCCCATGTATAACCATCAGTCACATCTGGCTGCTGATCCCTGGTAATGTGGCTAATGAGATCTGATACGCCCTCTAAGTATACAATATACAGTGGATTTCAAAGACTTAATAAGGAATAAATAATGTAAAAGTGTCATTAATATTTTATACTGATTACTGGTCGATATAAAACATACAAAGATTCTATATAAGAAGTTTAATAAAATACATTATTAAAATTAGTTTCACCTGTTTCTTTTCACTTTTGAACTGTGGTAACTAGAAAGATTTTTAATCACACAAGGCTTACATGACATTTTTGCTAGACAGAGCTATTCTTCATTCTTCAGAGCTCAGCATGAGTGAACCTCCTTCAAGATGTCCCTGGTTTTACAGCATGGTAATGATCTCTTTTCAGGAGTGTGGTGGCGCACACCCGTAATCCCAGCACTCAGAGGCCAAGGCAAGAGGATGGCCGTGAGTTCAAGGTCAGCCTGGGCTACAGAGTAAGACCCTTCTCAAAAAACAAACAAAAATAATGATTTCTTTTGCCCTCTGAAATACTATCATGGAATCTGCCAGGCAGTCATTTATCTCATTACATAAGCGCCACCATTATGTTTACCATTATTTTATGCTGACTCTTCTTGCTATGTCAGTGTCATTCTATAACCTGATTTCTAACCTGATACACCAAACACTCAGCTTCCAGTTAGACATGGAGCCTTGCTGGAGCAACGCAATAACACACAGGATGCTTGGGTTTTGGCTTTGTTTATTAATTTACATGCCCAGTGATGGTTTCCACAGTGCACAAAGATCTGGAAGTGGCCTCTTTGTCCCTTCTATCATTAGCATAATGCATGCAAGTCACTGAGTACAGGGTTTGGCTCCTCTTCAAAATAAAGTTAATACTATGTTGTTGTTGTTTTGAGACAGGGTCTCCCTGTGTAGTTCAGGTTGGGCTTGAACTCACTATGTAACCCAACCTGGCCTAGAACTTACGGTGATCCTCCTGCCTCAGCCTCCCACATGCTGAGATTACTGGCAAATAAATTTAATGAAATCAGGCCAATGTATCTCATTGGGCCAGGTCACAGTACCTACACAATTAACATCAAGATCATGATTCCAAGAAACAATCTACTCTCCACAGCTAACTGTGTGTTTCAACCAGTTGTTTTAAATAAGACTACTTTTTAAGAAAAAAATAAATCCATGAGCATTACCAAAAATAAGAAAGAAGGGTAAGGAAAATATCTACCAAAATACTTATCCTGTCTCACAAGTGGAGAGGGAAAACCTGAAATCATGTCCCCGTCACACTCACAGCAAACCTTCCTTACACGGCAGACCTTGCCATAGCCTCATCAGAGTCCAAAACCAAGCCTCAGAGAGAAGCAAAGTAAGAGTCCAAGGTATACTGCTCCAAGTCGCGCAGATAGGCTTCAAGTTCAGCTAGTGGAACCATTATCTGTATGTAAAAATAGCACCTTTACTATCACTTGAACATAAAATACGTAGGAAAAAAGAAAAATGTGGAAAGCATAAAAATACAATAGTATTATTCATTTTCTTTGGTTTCCTTGATTTGGGCTTAATTCCAATCTATCAGGTATTGGCCATGTAGACCAACTTGGCCTTGAACTCACTAGGTAGCCCATGCTGGCCTCAAACTTACAGCCATCCTCCTGCCTCAGTCTCCCAGTCCTGTGCCATCACACCTGGCCAAGCCTTTTGTTTCTTAAGTAAGCTTTTTATTTTTAAGTGGCAACCAAATAGGGTATATGATACGGTAGGATCTAGTGCTTTAATGTACACCTTGTTCTTTGCTATTTTTTTTTTTTTTTTTTTTTTTTTTTT